GGCAAATTTGCTGACCAGTCGAGCGAATCCTTCGGATACACCAGCAATATAGGGTATTGCTCGCCAGCGTGTCGGTTCTGGCCGTCCCGTTTTTTTTTCTTCGTTTGGCTCCTCACCTGCACTTTTCGACAAATGCGCCAGGATAACCATTCATTGTGAAAATTTTCCGCAGATACTTGACCTTGGCCTTTTTGTCGACTGGTTCGTTGCAGTGGATTTCTACGCGGCGATAAAGCGTTCGCACGCAGCTGCATTTGTGCGCGACGGGGTGGTTGCTGAGGTAACTCAGAATATGCGACGTATTCGTAGCCTTTCTGTAAACTGTTGTTTCGAGTTCCCCATCGCCTTTTCTGCACACCAGCACGTTGATGATTGGCAACTGGCAGTCTTTTTCGTCCTCCATCGTGAACTGAATGTCAGGGAAGATGGAATTCAGATTCTCCGTGAAATCCCCAATCCTGTCTCGACTGATGACGACAAACGTGTCATCAACATAACGGATCCACAGTCGTGGTCAATAGTGGTCGAAAGCCAGTGCCCCTAGTCGTTGTAATACTGCCTCGGCAATCAGGCCGGACAATTTCGACCCCATTGGCATACCTTTTACTTGCTCGGTTTTGAAAAAAAACCTTTTTAGACCGCTGGCAACAAGTACACTCCGTAAACATGAATATAACTGACCTGCATTAATCGTGCATGTAGTGGTCAAAGCTATGAGATCTATTTTAACTACATACACACACTAGGTCCTTTCCGCCTAATAGAAGAAGTTGAGGAGCGACTTATTCGTTGCACAGGGCAAGTGGCCGAGAGATAGGTGTTTACTTGTGTGGCTGGACAAAGCATCCGTTCAGTAGCATCTGAGCAGCGTTGTGTTGTTTACGCACCTGTGTGTTTTCGTGTCATCACGGAGGCGTGATTGTCTGGGTGTTGCGCGCGCGTGATTGGTTGAGCCAAGATCAGAGTTCAGAGCGTCGATTACAAGGTCACCTGGGAGTCAAATCGGGCTAGCTGAGGCGCGTAAGATAACCACAGGTGCAAACGCGACCGTGACTATAGGCTCAACTCCAGCCTGAAGGGCTTTCACGCTTTAGAGGTGTGCAAACTGGTTAGCAAATTTGTCAGGACACCGGTGAGGGTGGCGCTGGAAGAGAATTTACATGTACTCAATTAGTAGCCAATTACATTTACAAATGCCATACTTGAACATAGAGTAGCTTTCGGTTTTAAAAAGCTTTTTTTCAATTATAGAATAATTT